ATAAATACTGTCTTAATGTTTTTAATCTTTTAAAGACTTCATTCATCACATTTTCTTACATAGCTAGAACCATCAATTTTTCTTGATAGTAATCTTTAATCTGATTTAACTATGTCATTCACAAACACTTTTTTTGAATTTAATTTATTAATATATTATTCAATCTCCTTTTTATAATTACTTAACATCAAATAATGACTCAAAATATTTCTGTTTAATAAATTTATCCTCTTCTTAATCCACTACTACTGTTGATATTATAAAATTTTCAATCTCTTTTAATCATTTACCTCCTTATACTATTTTGTTTTTCCTTAAAATCCCTGTTTATGTCTATTTTATTAATTTCTTATTTAACATATTATTTAGAAGAAGAATTGTAGAAAAGTTAATTTGTAATTTAATTATTTTTTCTAATTCCAATTATTAAAATATCGAAGATGATAAATTTTGAAGGGTCAGGCATTGGAATGTCAATTGAGAGTTTTAATTATGACTAATCCTTTACAATAGCAAATATGTTCCAATATTTATTACAAAATTATTAATTAGATCCTTCTGAGATTGACCTGTCATTAGATGGATAAACAATGTTGAATTCATAAGATAACAGTAGAATTAGTTCATATTTTTAACCAAATTAAATATTATATGTATACCCTAAACAAATACCATATTTTTCAATTTATGTTGATGGAGAAATATCATGTTAATAATAATTACAAAATATGACGATATGGGATGTATAAATATTAATGGATATTTAATAGTTATTATAAGGCTTGAATCTAGGACAAAATGTTGTTATTGAAGTTTATGATGGAACAACACAATAAAAATTGAATGTGATTGATAATTTTTCGACTTAATTATATGACTCTACAGGTGGGTTGTAAAATATAATAATAAATATTACAACATAATAATTATAGTAAAAAACTTTTGGATCTAATTATTAAGATCAGAAAACTAGTTCTTAATATTAAAGCTAATAAATCAAGATAAATTCTTAAGGGTAATAAAATAAAATAAAATATTAGTTTCGGTGCTTCAGAACTTCTTCAATAGTTGATTTTATTGAAGAATATAAGTATTTTGATTGATCCGAATGGACAATTTGTAATATATAAATTCCATTTTCCTACATTAATTTAAGGATATCTTTAAAAAAGTAAAGGAAAATAGAGTTCTTCTTTTCATAATTTTAATGCAAATAAATAAGATTGGATAAAAAAGAATGATGTGGAATATTGTTCATTTGATAATTATGGTTTTGCTATTAGATGGAATGATGAGACTATAAGTTCTATTAAAATTAGATAACAATGATTATTAAAATAAAATAAGACATATTATTTAAGATTATAAATAATATAATAGTTATTCAATAAATTATTATGAATTAAAATATATTAATTATTGGTGCAGGAGTTGCAGGATTAGCATGTGCTTAATAATTAATAAAATAAGGTTATAATGTGAGATTGTTTGAAGCATCTAATAGATATGGAGGAAGAGTCAAACCTTTATTAGGATTTAGTGATAGACATTTAGAGGCTGGTGGATAAACAATTCATCATCCAGATAATGATTATTATAAAATGGCTATTGAAGCTGGGGCATAATTAGAAATTGGAGGGGATTTGGTTGGATCAATATATGATCCTATTCAAAAAAAAGTTATTACTTATAAAGAATTTGAAAATCTATATTAAAAAGAGTCTTAATCACTTGATGATTTCATCTAAGATAGAAATTAATAGGATGAACCAGTTTTATAAAGATTATAAAATAAACAATATAATATGGAATTTATTCATTTATTTTAAGCTTTATATGGTAGTGAATATGGAGCTTCAATTGAAAAAATTGGTGCCAGAGCTATTGGAAGATATGAATTTGATATGCCAATGTTTGTATCTGATTTTGAAATTGAAAATCACTTTCATCACATTAATATTTTTGATAAATTCTTTAAAGATGCAATCTAAATTATTGAATATAATAAGTAAGTATTATCTATCAAAATTATTGATTAAAAAGTTTTGGTTGATATAAATGGTGAGCAAAATGAGCAAAATGAGCAAAATGAGCAAAATGTTCAAAATAAATATTAATTTGATTATGTTGTTTGTTGTGTTCCTATAACACAATTAAAGAAATTGATTATAGAGCCTGCTTTTGATGAAACAAGATAAAAATAAATAAATTTAGTGGGTATGGATAAAGGAGGAAAATTCTTTATTAAATTAGACAAAAAATTTTTATAACATGAAGAAGACTTTTTTATACCTAAATTTAATCATAATTCATTATGGTGGGATAGTTCAAGTGAAAATGATTCAATTATTATTGGATTATTGGGATTAAGTGCACATAATAGAGTAATGGAAATAGGAATAGAAGAATTTGCTAAAGAAGTTATTTAAATTATAAATGAATAATATCAAGTAGATTTGAATGTTCTATCATATCATTATGAAGATTGGGGAAATACACCATTTATTGAAGGATTATATTCATATCCCATGTCAGGAATTGATGATAATTATAGATAAATTATTTCAGCACCTCATTTAAATAGATTATTTTTTGCAGGAGAAGCATTTCATCCAGTTTACTATTCTACAATTCATGGTGCTTATGAGAGTGGAATTAATGCAGCTAAATAAATAATTAAATGAAATATATATATATATATACGGATCATTTCTATCCAAAATATATTTAATCACTTAAAGTATCAAAGCTTAAGTGTATATCATTACCATATTAGAAACTTAATTCATCTGGTTCGATCAAATCTTAACTACTTTAATCTTTGTAATCACTCATTATTGACTATTCAGATTTATTTATCTTTATCAAAATATTTAATATATAATTACAGTTTTATCTTTTATTTAAGCTTAGATTTCCTTTTGTTTCGAACTTAGATCATTTAGATATTGAAAAATAATTATCTGATAATCTTGACAAAACATCTCATGCTATATTTCGCTTTTTTATTATCTAATTTAATTATTTCTACTAGCAGATCTTAATAGAAATTCATTAATTTTTGCACTAATTATAATTAATGAATCAATAAAATAAATAGCCAAATTATAAAATATTATTATGGAATAGATATATCCTTCAAAATTCATCTAAGTTTCAACAATATAAAAACTATAATACTATATAATTAATATTTACATCATTAAAAATAAAATGTTTATACANATTATCTATCAAAATTATTGATTAAAAAGTTTTGGTTGATATAAATGGTGAGCAAAATGAGCAAAATGAGCAAAATGAGCAAAATGTTCAAAATAAATATTAATTTGATTATGTTGTTTGTTGTGTTCCTATAACACAATTAAAGAAATTGATTATAGAGCCTGCTTTTGATGAAACAAGATAAAAATAAATAAATTTAGTGGGTATGGATAAAGGAGGAAAATTCTTTATTAAATTAGACAAAAAATTTTTATAACATGAAGAAGACTTTTTTATACCTAAATTTAATCATAATTCATTATGGTGGGATAGTTCAAGTGAAAATGATTCAATTATTATTGGATTATTGGGATTAAGTGCACATAATAGAGTAATGGAAATAGGAATAGAAGAATTTGCTAAAGAAGTTATTTAAATTATAAATGAATAATATCAAGTAGATTTGAATGTTCTATCATATCATTATGAAGATTGGGGAAATACACCATTTATTGAAGGATTATATTCATATCCCATGTCAGGAATTGATGATAATTATAGATAAATTATTTCAGCACCTCATTTAAATAGATTATTTTTTGCAGGAGAAGCATTTCATCCAGTTTACTATTCTACAATTCATGGTGCTTATGAGAGTGGAATTAATGCAGCTAAATAAATAATTAAATGAAATATATATATATATATACGGATCATTTCTATCCAAAATATATTTAATCACTTAAAGTATCAAAGCTTAAGTGTATATCATTACCATATTAGAAACTTAATTCATCTGGTTCGATCAAATCTTAACTACTTTAATCTTTGTAATCACTCATTATTGACTATTCAGATTTATTTATCTTTATCAAAATATTTAATATATAATTACAGTTTTATCTTTTATTTAAGCTTAGATTTCCTTTTGTTTCGAACTTAGATCATTTAGATATTGAAAAATAATTATCTGATAATCTTGACAAAACATCTCATGCTATATTTCGCTTTTTTATTATCTAATTTAATTATTTCTACTAGCAGATCTTAATAGAAATTCATTAATTTTTGCACTAATTATAATTAATGAATCAATAAAATAAATAGCCAAATTATAAAATATTATTATGGAATAGATATATCCTTCAAAATTCATCTAAGTTTCAACAATATAAAAACTATAATACTATATAATTAATATTTACATCATTAAAAATAAAATGTTTATACAGAAATATTGAGATAATTTTTTTATTTATCTCCTATATTCTTAAGGTTTTATTGGAATTCTTAACAGATGGTACATTTCAGAATAAACAATAGTAATCAACGAATTTATAAAGATTTAAAGTGTCATTAATATTGATCTTCTATCATTTATTATAATTATTTATACATTAATTCAGTAGAAAGATTTCTTAATAGGAATACGATTACGAAAATAAAAGTTCCCAAAATTGTAACATATTACTATTAGTTTTCAATTTCTGTTATTAAATTTCTTCCATATGTAAAAATTAAATTCATAATAATTGTTATCGAACAACAGATTTCCAACATCTGAGTTATTAAAAATAACTTTTGATAAAGTATATCAACTTTTTTTTCAGAAATAATTTAAGTAGAATACACAAAATATTGTTCTTATTGAGCATTTAAAATTTAAAGAGATTCCTCTTATGATTCATCTTATTAATTTTTTTAGATTTATTCTATTTGAATATTTCTTTCTGTTTCTGATTTAAATTGTTAGTTTTGTTGGATTTCTTTCTTAAATTTTTATCTTAATTCTTTATATAAATTTTTAATTTAATAGACTTTTTGTTTAAGTTTAAAAACAATAGGTTATTAATCGTCATAATTTTATATTTCTACAAAAATATTATTTATTGTAATAATTTTTTATTTAAATAGAATCTTTAGATTTTTCAAATCAGTGAGCTTCAAATAGATTTATCTTGTTTTTTTTTTTACGATAGATACTCCAATAGAATATTATTATGTTAACAATACAAACAATGCTATTAGAATAAATAGTAATAATGGCCAAACTATTGCCAATAAAATTTACAAGTATATATTAGATGTATTTTAATAAAATAATTGATAAGGTGAGAATGTAAATAAAAATAGAATTTCTGCTAATTTAACTTAATTTTCAAAGAATCTTAAAATTACTATTATTTTGTATTTTAAACCTGTTAATCCATATGCTTAATTATTACAATATGCGATGCATTTTAATTTATTTGATAATTCTAAGAATAATTTTGTTGTATCGATTGTGTCTATTTATGTTTCTCCTAAAGGACTGCTTAATTAAAGAAATTATAATGTCTCATTTTCATAAACGAGAGAAGGGAATAATGAATTTAAATATAAATTAATATTTCCTGATGAACTCTCTATTTCTAATTTTTTAAGATATTGATCAAGATATTAAAAACATAAATTCCATTTATAATATGAGAAAAAAGGATTGTGAAATCTTTTAAGTGATGCTAAAGAATCTATTTAAAATTAATAATTTAAAAAATTCATGTATCCAACAAAAGAGGAATTAAGATTATAACATTTAGTCTTATCTTTTTCTTGAACTAAATTAATATATCCTGTAGCTCCACAAAATTATTGAGATGATCTCAAAATATTATCCATAGATTAAAATTTAGTAGAATCTACAATAATGTTCAAAAATCCAACATAAAAATATTCAGATTAAAAATGTTTAAAGACTCCTTAATAAATCCAATTTATTAATTTAATTGGAGTTTTTTCTTCATAGATTACTAAAAATATTGAATCTAGATATTCAAATGAATAACAGATGTTGCCTATAAATATATAAAATTGATTACATTTATTTTCATTTATATTTTCCATAATTTAAAAATGATCACCTAAATTATGCTTTTTCATCTTTTCTTTACCATTAACTATTATAACAATATTTGTTGATCTATTATCATCAAAAATCTATTTGAATCTTAAGATTTATCTATTAATTTCATTTAAATCTTGATCATCATAAATTAAACAAAATGTAACACTATTATCATCAACTTTATCAAATTCAAAAATCTATTTATCAATATATTATCTTAAAATAATTTCAGTTTCTGAGGGATATTCAGAAATTTAATGAAATAGATTAGAAATTATTGGTTTATTTATAATTTACATTTCAAATTCTGCATAATTGGATTAATATGCTTATTAATTATTTGGTTCTCTAGGAATATTATTATTAATTTAATTCTAGTCATCTTTGAATTTTGTAATTATAATATTATAAAGCTGAATATGTTGTTATAAATAATTCTATCCTTATTTGCTGATTTTACTATAAATTAATCCATCATCTTTATTAATAGGTCTATAAAAAATATTGGTTTCAGATGGTATAATTTTTTCACATAATTCAAAACCCTAAATAATAATATTTTATACAGATGGGTGATTGGGATTAAAGTACAAGTTAAGTTAATTAGAAGCAATATTTCTAAATTATGCAAAAGAGTCTTAATTATTCATTATTTAAATATATTTACTATATTTTATTTAAAGATATCTACTATTTTAATTACACTAGATATTTATTTGTTTTTTTCAATAAACATTATTAACAAAGATTAATAATTATTTTTAATATATATTATAAATTGCGAATTTCTATTTAAATCATTAATCTAATCTTTAATACTTTAACCTTCTAGATTGTGATTTTTATTAATCAAAAGATATTTCCAATCTAGATTATTCGTATTATTATTCTTGTTCTTCATAAACTTTTTCATATTCAATTTAAAATGATGGTTGATCTTTAGAATCTTATTTAGGAATTTGATTGTTATTTTAAACAAGATTAGCTAAAATGATTAATATCAAGTCTAAAAATATGATAATTAGATTGTAATAAATGATACCCAAAAAAGCATATCCTTGATATTCTGTTAAATTTTCAATTAAAAGAAATCTAATAATTAAAGAATTATATTACATAAATAAGAAGAAGATGGTAATTGCTAAATATTCTCCTAATCTGTTAAAAGCATGATAATATTGTTTAAATTTCTTTGAATAATGAAGCATATGATAAATTTCTGAATACATTACTATTGTAAGCATAAAAAATATCATTCCAAAAAGTAATAAGTTACATTTAGTTCTTAAAAATAAGAAACAAAAAATAGCAAGTAATAAAAACATTATTTAAAATTTAACATATGATTAGTCAAAATTTATTAAATAATAAGAGTATGTATAGATAATATTGGAAATGACGATGATTGAACTTAAAAAGGAAATGATGCATGTGATTAAAAATAGCGTTTTATAATATACTGCAACTTTAACCTCTCTAATAATATTACATTAAGATTAGTATATATGATTTTCAAGTTGATCTGTTTATTAAATTACAGTTTATTAATCTTAAATAGTCAGTTTAAAGATAGAATAAGTTTTATTTTTATAAGTAATTTTTATTTCATTAGATTAATTTTCTATATCTTGGATTAATTTTCCCTAACATAGTTTATTATTAAAATAAACAAACAATTTGGATTCTCTTTAAAACAAATTAATCAATTTCTTTTTACATTTTATTATCACATCTGTAATTTAGTATTATTGAGGTAATATTATATAAAGGAATAAGGATAAGAGCATCAAAAAAGGTAAAAATATGGTTACAGAAATTCTTAAAACATAATTTCCAGTAATTTACCAAAATAATTAATAGGGGGAGAAAATATAGATAAATAATACTACAGCTAACTTCAATTTAAATTCTATTTCTCTCTATCTATAAATGAGCTTATAAAAAAGAGAATCTGTTTATGTTGCTTTCTTATTACATTCAATCAATGATTTTTATTTAATTTATAAATCATCAAATTATTTGTAATATGTTTCATCTTCTTTTTTGATATATTTATTTCCTATTGCTGATGCAGGTACATAAAGTATCTCTTTCGATTATTTATACATCATTTTTGGTAAAATTAAATTTAATTTCAAATCTATTTTTCCTTTTTCATAATCTTTTTCTAATTTCTTAAGATATTCGTCTATTACATTATAAATTGAATTCAATTTATAAAAACCAAAAAAAGGATTATGATATTTTTTAACATTTGCTAATGAATCTATTTATAATTAGTAATTTAAATAATTATTATATCTAATAAATTGATCCATAATAATCTCCTCAAATAAATCATTTCTATTTTAATCATTTTAATTCTGTTTTCTAATTAAATCACAATATCCACTAACTCCAAAGTAATTATTTTTATTTGATTATATCTCATTAGGTTTTAAGTGATCTAAAATTATATGAAAAGCTTAATTAAGGTATTCTTATTTAATTTCATAATCTAGATCTCCTACATAACAATATTTTGAATAAAAATGCTTAAACACTCCTGAATATATCCATCTTAAAAGTTTTATTTATGATTATTTTTCTGTAATTAAAAGAAAAAGAACATTATTATGTATATTTTCATTGTCAAAATATTAATATGCCTAACATGAATTATGTCTGATCTAATCTGGTATTTTTTGATTATCATTAAAGTTTTATAGAGATTCATGTAAAGATTTCTTACCATTAACTAAAATAACAAATACAATTTGATTTCTTATGTATTGGCTANTAATTTACCAAAATAATTAATAGGGGGAGAAAATATAGATAAATAATACTACAGCTAACTTCAATTTAAATTCTATTTCTCTCTATCTATAAATGAGCTTATAAAAAAGAGAATCTGTTTATGTTGCTTTCTTATTACATTCAATCAATGATTTTTATTTAATTTATAAATCATCAAATTATTTGTAATATGTTTCATCTTCTTTTTTGATATATTTATTTCCTATTGCTGATGCAGGTACATAAAGTATCTCTTTCGATTATTTATACATCATTTTTGGTAAAATTAAATTTAATTTCAAATCTATTTTTCCTTTTTCATAATCTTTTTCTAATTTCTTAAGATATTCGTCTATTACATTATAAATTGAATTCAATTTATAAAAACCAAAAAAAGGATTATGATATTTTTTAACATTTGCTAATGAATCTATTTATAATTAGTAATTTAAATAATTATTATATCTAATAAATTGATCCATAATAATCTCCTCAAATAAATCATTTCTATTTTAATCATTTTAATTCTGTTTTCTAATTAAATCACAATATCCACTAACTCCAAAGTAATTATTTTTATTTGATTATATCTCATTAGGTTTTAAGTGATCTAAAATTATATGAAAAGCTTAATTAAGGTATTCTTATTTAATTTCATAATCTAGATCTCCTACATAACAATATTTTGAATAAAAATGCTTAAACACTCCTGAATATATCCATCTTAAAAGTTTTATTTATGATTATTTTTCTGTAATTAAAAGAAAAAGAACATTATTATGTATATTTTCATTGTCAAAATATTAATATGCCTAACATGAATTATGTCTGATCTAATCTGGTATTTTTTGATTATCATTAAAGTTTTATAGAGATTCATGTAAAGATTTCTTACCATTAACTAAAATAACAAATACAATTTGATTTCTTATGTATTGGCTACACTAAGATTAATAAAATTATAATTTAGAATTTAATTCTTTTTAGCTTTCTCCATTATATAATAAACAAAAAGTAATTGAAGGATCTTCTGATTTTATAAATTAGAAGATTGGTTTGTTAATTAAATCTCTTTCTATTATTTCAGAAACTGTTTGACCAGCATTTTACTTATTTTAAATCAATTAATTATTATCAGAAATAGTAAATAAACATCTTAAATTTTAGCCAAAATCATCCAAATTCTTAATTAATTCTTTCAATTCTTCATCCTATTATTGATCTCTTTAAATAGGTTTTCTTTAATCTTAAGTAAGTTTTATCAGTGCCCAACAATACAATTTTTTTTATTGATTTAACATATATTTTCCTTGTGGGCTAACTAGATTAAAAAGAAATTTTTGCTCTTTTTAAATTGGCATTAAGGAAAACTCATCACTTGAATCATAAATATGACAATAATCAAATCCCTTATTAATATTAAGAAGCTACTTATGCACATACAGGGTTTAAATAGAGTAGTAGACCATCTTCAATCATTTATTATCAATATAAATATTTTTTAAAATTATCCTAAATTTTATTTAGATTTAAGAAGAATTATTCTAGTAGTTTTAATTAAGTTGCTTGAGCTTAAATTAATTGTGCATTGATTTATTTAATGATATCATAAATAATGATTTTTTCTTAATAGTTGATTAAACTTAATCATGAAGTAAAATGATTTAGTTATTTTATATAATTTTATTGATCAAAAATTGATTAAATAATAAATAATGGGAAATATGATTTCTAATAATGAAGAGATTTCAGTTAGTTTATCAGAATGCGAATATTAACATAAGAATTTTTCATTAAAATATGAATATCCATAAAGGAAAATTCTGAAGGCAAGAAAAAGAAATGATTTTTCTTAAAGCAACAATCGTCGATATTCATAAAATATCAAGAAAGCTTAAGAATTAAAAGCAGAAGGAAATCATTATATTTAATTAAGATAATATAAAAAGGCAATTGAATCATACACTTAAGCTATTGTAAGACTTTGGGTATAATTAGAATCTATATGATCGGGATTCAATATATTTCTCAAACCGATCTGTAGCTAATAAACTTTTAAATAGATTCTAAGAAGCAAAACAAGATGCTTATTAAGCATTGAAAATTGATTAAAAAAACTCTCGAGCTCACTTTATTTATGGAACAATTATTTTAATTGAAGTTTAAATGTTTCCTGATACCACAGAATCTCTTATCAAATAAGCTCAATTGGGTATTTAGGAATTAGAATGTGGTAATTTAAATATAATATAAAGTTTAGCTATGGAATAAGTTAATATAAGCAAGAATGAATAAAAAAATAAATTAAAAGTTTTGATTAACTAAAATATAGCAAAAGGTAAACGGATGATATATTTAATAAGATAAGAAATTGATAAAAGAAGTAAATTTAATTATTGATGAATTTAGATATATAATCTTTAAAACAAACAATTTCTGATATATCACATCGTTAATAGTTATTAGTTGATTGGAATACTATTGAATAAAACATAAAAAAAAAGACAGATATTTCAATGCCAGATTATTTTGTTTGTCCTATCTTATTTGAAATTATGGAAGAACCTATCCTTCTCAATTCTGGGCTATCTTATGATAAATAAAGTATTCAATAATAATTTAAATAAAATGGATATATTGATCCTATAACAAGAGAGTTTATAGATCCTTTGCGTATGATTGAAAACATTTAATTAGCAAAAGGTATTTCAGAAATAAAAAATCGATATGGTTGGATTGGAATAGAAAATGAAAAGGATTATAAAGCAATAAGATTTGAATGACACTCAATGAGATCTATTTCATAGTAAATTGATTTCTTAATAATATATTTTATAAACTTAAATAAAAAAATAATAAAAAATAATAATTAATTAATAACAATCATTTTAAAATGAAAGCACATTTTTCCATTTCATCTAATTATGATTAAATTTACACTTTTATAGATTTTGTTCGGCTTTTTTCAAGTTAAGCCATTTTTTGATTTCTATCTAATTATAATTATGATATTTAATTTATTTTTTTTTATTCGATTTCTTATAATCTTTTATTCATTTCTAATTTAATAAGTTATTCTTGATCATTAAATTTATTCATAAGTACTTCTTCTTAATGAGCATGTTTTTATTTAAGTACTCTCTATTGAGTTTCTTAAGTTTATCTTTATTCTGATTGAGTTCTTCTCATATGATCTTAATTAGCTTCTTTTAAGTAAACTTGATATAACTCTGCTTTTTTAAATTCTTTTTAATTTGATAAGTATGTCAAAATTTTTTATAGGTTCTAATATTCTGCATTTTATTATCTCTTATAGAAAACAGATTTTTATAATTATATTTTTTATTAATGCCACAATTATTAAAGTGCTTGACTTTTTTAATAATTAAATTTTTCCAACAATTAAGCAAAGTATTGATTGACTTCATCTATTTATGATTTAGTAATAGAATGAATTTTTTGTTCTCCTAATTTAAATTATTCTATGATTTCTTCTCTTTCTAAGAGATCTCGAATAGTTTTCATTTGTAATAATTTAGATTTAACTTCATTAGCCTCTTTGAAATCATGATTAATTTAACAATCAAGCATATGTTATTCTGTTATTTTGATAACTTCATCCATTTATGATAATGTTAACATAATTTTATTAATAATTTTTTTTGATTTTAACAATGCAAATATAATGATTATCAATCTGGATATTCAATATCTCCAAATTCTGATGGCAATTAATAAGTTCCAGGACCAGGATCTAAAAGGATGAAATATAATTAATTTACAAACTTTATTTCGAATTTAAATAGTTTTCCTTTCTGAAGCTCCAAAACTGAAACCTGAACTGCTTTTTAATCTAAAATCAGCAATATCTCCTGGAGGATCATAAGTTCCTGGTCCTGGAGTTTTAATGATTCTAATAGATTTATTAGAAGATGGAGAGAACAATGGTGCTCGATTGCTGGAATATTTAGAATTAAAATAATTTCCAGTCTTACTAATACCTCCAATATTATAAGCACAAGGAGAAGGTGTTGTAGATTCCAAATATATGTCTAAAATTATATAATTAGATACGTTTGGCTTTAGTCCTTTCTCCAAATGAAAATTTTAAATTGGAGAAAGTATCTTTCAAACTGTATGTATTTGGTGCAGGATTCTTATTGGTATTTCCATAAATACCCACTGCCTTAGTTTCTTCTCTACCATATCCAAATTTAGTGACTGGTTTAGGTTTAGATTTAATGGTATAAGCAGTAGGGGGTGGAATATACTTATCAGTTAATTTTGCAAAGTCAAATTTTATACCATATCCGAAACTGCATGTTCTTTTGCCAAGAGATGTTCTTATTCTAATAGTATAAATAAGATTAATATACTATGAATCATAAAATTATTGTTGACAATAGCTGGAACGAGGTTTCGAGAATCTTGTAGCTTTAGCAAATGAATATTGTTGTTTTGATGGAGAATGATTAATCACATCATGAATAACCTTTTTATTAAATTAATCAGCTGTTCTCAATAGTATCATTGATCCTGTATTTCTAGGTCGACCATATAAGGTTTCAGCAGCACTAAAGGTCCTTTCAGATGCTGTACGTGCTCTTGCTTTCTTCTTACTACTACTACCTTAAGGACTATTCAAATCCATATTATTTCCTGATTATGTTTCCTACTCTTGTAATTTATATTGACTATCCAATTATTTTTCAGACATCTTTTATTTTATTATTATAATAAATTTAATCAAATATTATATCAAAATTTTATATTAGATAAAGTTCCTGCCAACAATTCAACATAACTTTATAATTAACTTGTTAAAGGTTCTTCAATTCCAAATAGATTTTCACTCACTTCTAATAAATGTTCTCTTTCCATATCAATTGATAACTTATTCTTTAAACAAGTCTATTTATTAATTTATAATTATTTACTTCAACTACTCCAATCACCACATCTTATTTATTTAATAAAGGCTAAATAAAAACAGGCAATATAGATATCAAATCAACCTTTGGATTAAAATTAACAGATCTTTTTATGTCATTCACTATATATCTCTACTTATTTCTAACTGCCATTCCAGCCAATCCATAATCTAATGAAAATTACTATTCCTTTCCATCCACAAAACTTATCATTTTATCATTATCCACAAAATAAAACTATATTATCTAAAATCCAAATATCTTTTTAAAACTTTATCTTATTCTCTCACTAGCTATTTACTTATCTTTTGATCTTAAAATCTCTGTTAATTAATTATTCATCAAACTACGATACTTTTATGCTATTAACCAACTCTCCTTATCTACTAATCTTTATAATATTATCCCCAAAAAACTACTTATTATTATACCAAAATATTCTTCATCAAAAGAAAATTACTCTTATTCTGAATTCAATATTATCAAACTACCTCTTATTATATTCTAACCTATACAAAATATTGGTAATATTAATGCACTCTTTCCATATTCAGCCTACTCATTATCATTTAATCTATATATTATTGCTTTCTTTGGTTTCTAACTTATATTCTATGCTTAATACATTTTAAATGTATCTGCTACCAATCCTTTATCTTATAAAGCCTTTATTTATTATCTAGTTTCCAAATATGAATATAATAATCCATTCTTTGTATCTAGCAACCATAATTTGGCTGTCTCACATTTAAATACTTAAGGTAATTGTCTATTTACATTAAAAATTAGATCTTCTATTGTTTAACAATTGCTGAACTCTTCCATTTATAATAACAATTAATTCAATCTCTCAGAAAACTCCTTAAAAGACAACAATTAATTACAATAGTATGTTATTTACTATTTCTAAACTTCTTATGATTATTAAGATATTTATTATAATGTATTTATAACCCCTTTTTCACATAAATCATTCAATAAATTTTAATGATCTAATTTCTAACACACTATTCGAAAATCCAAATTTTATGGTATCTTAAAATTCATTAATAATTCAATATCATCTTTTTTTATAAATCCTCTAATTTCATCATCATCATTTTTCTTTCTTAAATTATCAATAGTTTTTTATAATCTACTTACCACTAATTAATATTAATTTAATTTTCCTTGAATTCTCTCTACTTCTTAATTTTTTCTTTCCAAATCCCTTTTTAATTGTTCATTCTCCTTCATTAAAATTGTCAAATTCGATCTCATTTCAAAAATGTTGATATCATTTGACACTATAAATTCAATTCTTTTTTCTAATGCATTTATTTTCTTGATATTAATTTCGTTTAAATTTTTTTCTGATTTTAATTACTTTTATAATTTTAAATTTTCTTCTATCAATTTATTACTTCTAGATGAATTGATTTCAACTTCTTGCTGCAATGACTTATTTCTATCAAATAAATCAGCCTCTTTTTTTAATACCTACTTATTAAAGACTATAAAATAATTAAGATTGAATACCAGAAGTTTTCTTTTGTTATCTATTTAAGAAGCCTAACTAAATTTCATTTTTAGTTGTATTCTAAATAGTGTTAACAATAGAGAGTAAGAGCTACTCAATTTTTTAAATGGTTGGTAAACTGTTCAATTAATTTTTGTTTGTTGTAATAACTTAAATAAGGAATTCTAACGTAGTACATCTAGATATCAATCTATTTTGTAGATCTTTAATTTTCTTATTACATTGAATTAGTTTACTTAAACTTCAAAATCTTCATTACCTTCTGTTACTTGTCTCTACTCTTTACTGTAGGCTGTACTCAATGTATTCAATTTATGTGGTAGAGTCAAAGTTTATTATGATTGTTAATTGGCTCTAGGAGTACTCATTTAAGTAGCTCCTTAATTATCAATAGATTATGGTTATTTGGACAGTAGGTGAACTAATTAAGAATGTTTCATTTATTATATATTTATATATATATATATATTCAATCTTATTATTCATTGTCTAATTTTACTTTTTTCTTATTCTTCTTCTTATAAGGTGGTACTTTATTTTCAATCTCAAATATAATCCTTAAAACCTAAAATAAAATCTATTATTGTACTTCTAATAATTAAATTATTTATCAAATACAAAAAATCCAATAAAAAACCACTATGACTTCTAATATTTGCTTTATCCAATTCTTCTAAAGTTTATATATTAAGTATCAATCTTTATAAGATTTCATAGACATTCTAAATTTGTAATGATTAATCAAATTTTGTTAGAGCTGTGATTAATCCATCTTGTTATTCTATTTTAATTTGGAAAACAATCTTTTAAATAGACCAATAATACAATTTCATCATGGATTATATTCTTGAGTATAGTTTGATTATTGCAACCACTGGCTTAATATATATATTGCTA